TATCTCCTACCCACTGTAAGGATGCTAGACCCCTAGCACCACCCAGCCTCATGGGGAATGGGTCCTCCCCTCTCTCCCTGCTGAGGGGCAGGGGTGTCTGGGTTAAGACTGGCCTTGAGCATGGCTGGCAGTTCCTCCTGGTAGTAATGATCAAGGTGGGCATTGGTGGCCACCAAGTTGAGCAGGTACTCATTGCGGGCCGCTCTCAGCTGCTGGGAGTACTGGGCTGACTGAGCAGATAGCTAGGAGGGGAAACAGATGTTGACAGGGAGCTCTGGACTCCTAGGGTCTTTCCAAGACCAACTGAGAACCCAGATCCAGAAGGGATTCTCACATTATTGAGTGCTTACTCTGTGCCTGGCACTACACTAAATAAATATCACATACTCATAACTCCTACTCAAAATCCTCTAGTGGCTTTTGCACATGTTTAAAATAAAATCCCAACTGTTCCTTACCATGGTCCACCAAGTCCAACATAAGTTGGCCCCTTCAACCTCCCTGACCTCTTTTCAAGTGCTTATCCCCTTGCTCACAGTGCTCCAGCCCCACTAGCCGTCTCTCAGTTCCTTTAGCCTACAAAGTTATTCCCACCTCAAAGCCTTTGCACTCACCGTTTCCTCTCCCTGGAATGTTCTTCCCCTAGATCTCTGCATGCCTAGCTCCTTCTTAATACTCAGGCCACCTGTTCAGAAAGGTTTCCTCCTAAATTACACTCCTCTAAATCATTACTCTTTATCATAGCACCTTGTTTTATTTTCATCTTAATCTATTTATTTATTTATTCACTCTCTATCTCCCTTAACCAGGCTATGAGGGCAGAAATGCCACTGGCAGTGTTCTCCACTGGGTCTCCAGTATTCAGAACAGTGCCTAGTACACAGCGGTCCTCAATAAATGCATAATAAAGGAATGAAAAAGAAAGGTATTATTTCCATTTTACAGATGAAGAAAATGAGGTTCAGAGAGATCAAGTAAGTCAACCTAGGTCACCCACCTAGAAAGTAGAGGAGCCTGGATTCAACCTAGTCTCTCATACTTAAGCCCCTGGGTTCCAAACCACTAGAGTATTCTGCCTACCTCTTTCCTGCCCCCACACTCATGCTCTCATCTCCCAAACCTTGGTGCTCAGCTTCTGGAGACTGGTCCGAGAGTGGAAGATCCCATGGTCATTTCGGTTCAGCCTACGCAGACAAGACAGAGGAGTCAGAGTCAGACCCAGCTTTGGTGCCTTGACACCACCCCCACACCTCCCCATCCCCCCACCTTGGGCTTCCTAACTCCGGTGACCCCACCTGGCCTGGACATCAGCTGCCTTCTCCTGTGCCAAGGCCCACACACGTTCCCGCTGCCCATACAGCTTCTGACTTCGGCTCAGCTCCCGGACAGACTGCAGCACCTCAGCCTGCGCCCTCTGGAGGTTCTCAGTTCCCTAGCAGCATTTGACACACAAAGTCCTGACCGGGACCACCTCTGATCCCAAGCCAGCTCGTCCCTCAACCCATCCACTGAGCCATACCTTCCTAAGCACCTGCTCCTTGGCACTCCGCCCTGTGCCCCCTGCTAGGTCACGGTATCGGTCGGACGCCTGGAGCCGGGTTTGGCCCCCGGCCACGGTGGCATCCAGCAGGCAGCGCCAGGCAGCAAACACTGACCTGCCCCTCCCCAGAGAAGATCTGTGTTGAGGAGGGGAACACCCCACAGCTTCATGAGATGACCCCTCCAACACCATGGGAGACAGAATGCTTTCCCATCCCCCCTTGTCTGGGAGCCCATCAATCGATCAGCCCATTAGCTCAGCCACAAGGCTCACTCATGCCCCCCGCCCCCACCTACAGTGTCCTTGCTGGGTCAGCTCCTCTCCTGCTGCTGTGTCAGCTCTACCTGCAGCTCACGTTCCCTCCCCACTCACTAGGCCTTCGTCCCCACAGGTTCCTGGGGCTGAGCTCCCCAGCGCTTTTGGACCCCTGTGACCCTCCCCCTCCATGGGACCCACCTGCTGTCCATCTCCCCGCTCCGGTACCCTTCCCGCTTCAGGAACAGCCCTGCCAGTTTCTGGAGTGCCTGGTGAAAAAGCCATCACAGACCCAGTTCCCTTTCAAAGACCCACCCTGAATGGGAGAATATGGGATGAGAGTATAATAATATCATTCTTTGGATGTATATTATGGACACTAGCTTTGCTAAATGCCTTACATTCATTAATTTATTTGTTACAACAATCCTACATGA